GATCAGGACCAGCTTCACTTATAAGACCTGTAGTTGGTGGATGGAAATAGGTGGGCTTCACTTTTAAGATTGATGCCAACCGATTATCGCAGTTAGGCCCTTATGATTCTGAACGCTAGATATGTTTATTATCTGACCACTGTCTAAATTACTAGGATACCTCATAGAATCATTATGATGTATTCCATCCTTTTGCAGTGTCGCAATCAAGGGCTCTCCATTTCCTTCAAAACTGCTTTCAATTCCGTCGTTCATGCTCCATTGTTCATGCTCCATTGAGGGCTGCAGATCATCATCGGAATAACTTTTATATCTGATTCTTCCAGGTATTGGCGATATAACTTGTCGTATTCTTTGTGTTTAGCAGCTTTTTTTTTTTACTACGCCAAGTACTCCACCTGCTTGCCATTGTATGCTTTTCTAAAAAACAAAAATATTAATACCAACTTACCAGGTTGTAATGAAATTTGATAATAAAGCTGCACTCACTTAGTCTCACTGTCACTATTTTATAATCACTACGTAAACCGACTTCGTCTGTATATTAATATGTACAATAAAATAATCACCGATCAAAAAACATACAATTTCCAGATTTTACACTAGATAAAATCTATGGCCGACGGTCCCGGCGGAATCCGATTAAATACACTAACGAATATGTTGACAAAAATAACTAGTGTACTAATCCCGACGTTGTCGGTTTATTAATAGGCCTTTTTTGTATACAACCGATTTCGTCGGTCGACAGGGAAATTCCCCAACTGTCAAATTTTTTATGGGGAAGTTAAAATCAGGCATAAAATTTGATAACGGCACAAAAGCATTTGTAAACAAACTTTCTAAAGTGGACCCTACACGATTACTTTTATTGACAATAATCGTATTGTCAATACATTCTATATTGACGTCAATATATCGAGATTGACAATATTTCTGAATTCACATCATCAATATTATTGTCAATAATTCCCCTTCGCGTCAATATATTGATGCGTGTGGGGTTTGCTTAAGGCCCTTTACACGCGAATCAAAGTATGCTCACGCAAAACAATACCACTTTCGGAAAGGTGATAGTTGCCCCTATCCGATGATGTTGTTGGTTTGTGTGGGCGTACTTTGGTTCGCGTGTAAAGGGCCTTAGAAAGTTTGTTTACAAATGCTTTAGTGCCGTTATCAAATGTTATGCCTGAAATAATCCACCAAATGGTTCAGAGCCTAAATAAATCAATATTTTGAGATTTTTCAGTCTAGAATCACGAGAAAAGTATCCAAAAGTGATGCGCTTCATAATAAATTAGTAATTTGTCAGTCCAGTTTTGTGAAATCACTGGTAGAAAGTCAAGCTACGGAACTTTCGTCGGCAGCATCGAAAATATCTCCCCCGATATGGAATGGAACCTCCTTCGGTCGGAGTCAGCAAACTCCGCTGAAATCAATCGGATCTTTCGTTGGTATCCGCTAATCTCTACCGGAATGGACTGGAACATACTTCGTCGATAATACAGAAAAATTGACCGGCTACGTTGTTAATTCAGAGAACATTTGTTGCTAGCCTAGGAAATCTCAACCATAATCGACTTGAACCTGCTCCGTCGAGAAATCAGAAAATCCACCTTTGGCAGCATCAAAAATTTCCACTAAAATTAACTGAAACATCCTCCGTCGACAACGTCCGAAAAATCCTCTGGAACCATTGCAACATCGAAAATCTTCACTGAAATCGCCTGGAGCTGGCTCCGTCGATAATACAGAATCCACCAGAACTTTCGTTGGCAGCATCGGAAATCTCCACCAGAATCGATTGGAACTTGCTCCGTCGACAACGTCTAAAATATTTGCCGGAATCTTCCGGATCTTTCGTTAGCAGCATCCGAAATCTTTACCGGAAACGACGGGAACCTCCTCCGCTGAGAATTCAGAAAAAAAATCCACCGGAACATTCGTTACCAACATCTTCTTCTTCTTCTTCTTTCCTTTATTTAACGTCGGTCTCTGTTCCGCAATCTAAAGCCAATCACCGACGGACATCGATTGCCATCCATTGACGGCAATCGAATGTGCAGGAAGAGCACTTACGGGAAGGGAAGAATTTGCCCTACCCGATGGTGTTGTTGGTTTGCGTGGACGTACTTCGGTTCGCGCGAAAAAACCTAACAAACACACGCTATTAAAATCGAAATATTACAATGTCTTGCCCCTCGTCTTCAGTGATATCCGGATTAAGATCCAGAAGATTCAGTAAACTTGGTAACAGCTCAGAAATGTTCCACCGGATTTCAATGAAGTTCTCTTCGGAATTTTCCAGAAGTTTTCTGCAGATCTGTCTAAGAGCTTTCGTCTGAATTTCTTAAACCATAGCTACATTTGTTAAAAGTTATCATCTCAAGCTACCCCAGCAGTATTATCATAGAAGTAACTCTAAGACTAGTAGGTCCCGAAGGAACGTGCTCAACTTTTTGGTTCAGCCCTGGTACTCTCTTCGGTCCCAAGCTAATCGATGCACCCCTTGAAACATAGGAAAATCCTCATTTTATCATTCTCGGAGAATTATTGGAGAGCACTTAGCGAATGCTGCCGAATTCCAGGAGACTCCTACAGTTAAAAGTGGACAATACTTTTAGAATTATTGACAATGTTGGAAGTCGTTCAGAGCATTCAAAAGGTATTCTGGAGAGAATTGAGCAGTTACACGCCAAATGATGAATTGGAAAAACTCGACCGTCTTCAATTTGCATAAAATTATCCATAATTGTTTGTTTTGGGTAATGATTTACATTTTTGCTAAAATTCGACCATTTTGAATCTGGTAAAGTTTTCCAAATGGCGCCGCGAAATTTTTCAAAAAAATTATAGCACGGAAACGGCACTTCTGATCTGAATGACGCAATTCTGGATCAACAATAGAAAAGGGCCCATCAGCATTTGTAAACAAACCGTTCCAAAGCCCATTCCTCACAAATCGAAGGTCGCCCACACAAACCAACACCATCATCGTGTAGGTAGAAGTTTCCCCTATCAGATGATGGTGTTGTTTTGCGTGGGTGGTCTTCGCTTTGGTAGTAAAGGGCTTTGGAACGGTTTGTTTACAAATGCTGATGGGCCCTGTTCTATTGTTAATTTTACAAGATCCTAAATGGCTGAAATTTAGAAAAAAAAAAGTGAGGCTAGGTATTCCGTTGGCATCACTGATTTAGGTAGGCTACAGCCCAACTAAAGGCCCAAGCGCAATGACAGCGGCAGCGGAAAACCCCGATCTGAGTAAGCCTACTTGTCGAATTGAAAAGTAGTTAGAACCAAATCGAGTTCGATTATGTCGTTTTCGTTTTTGCGGTGTAGCACTGGTGTAGTGTAAGCAGGAATAAGCGCGAGTCTTTGACAGCTCAACATCATTTATTTGTAAACAAAGGTGCATCCTATACCTACACCCTAAAATATTTCGGTGTACGGCAGTGTAGCACCGGTGTAGCTACACCGCAAAAACGAAAACGACATTAGGCATCTTGATGTCATTCGTGACTATTGTCAAACTTTCCGTTTCCGTTCCGCTTCCGCCCACGAGTGAAATTTGACTGTTCTATGGAAGTAATCTGCCTGAAACGCACGTCCATTCCGAGGTTACATTTATATACAATAAGACTCCCATGTATACACTGCCTTTATCAGATGGATAATCGTCCTGTGAACGTAACTTTCAGATTTCGAAACTCGATATTTCGAAATCGTCTTTTATTTACTAGAAGCTTGATAGTGGTTAATTGTCATTTATATAAAATTAGATAGAACTTACCAAACGGCTTCTCAAGGAAAACCACTGTTTAATTCACTCGCGGCAATCAAACAATCCTTTTGAACAGTACTTTATCAGCAACCGAATGCACGCGAAACTATTGGAATCGAAATAATAGCGCTAAGAAATTGAATACGAATCAGCAAAATGAGAGCGAAAATGAAAACAAACCACTTTCGAGCCAGAGCCAACTGCGTTTTTCTTGTGTGTTGCAAGCGGTTGCAATGAGAAATGTGTAAACAAAATCAAAGCGGTGGGTCAGGATAAAACACACACGGCGAATGAGAACGACTCAAATTTGAGTTTAGTTCACTCATAATCGCCAAAAGTGCAGGAACTCAGCGATGAGTAAAATTTGTCTCATAGTTTCCTGTGGAAAACCTTAAAAATCTGCCGGAAAATGAGAAAATTGACGAAAATTTTATTCAGTCTCGGAGTAGTACCAATAGACTGAGTGAATACAATCTTTACTTTTCTCAAATTCGGGAATTTTTCCCTGGAAAATCCTGGAAAAACCTGGGAAAACATTAGGCAAATTAACTCATCGCTGAGTTCCTGCACTTTTGGCGATTATGAGTGAACTAAACTCAAATTTGGGTCGTTCTCATTCGCCGTGTACATGTCCATAGTGGACCCACACCGGGGCACTTTAATTACTCACGTAATCTAGAGTCGGTGTATAATGAGTCACGCCAAGAGTGAAGCCAAGTCTACCTATTGAACTGTCAAACCGGCTACCTATCGTGCAAAGTAAACAAGCATTACGATGCTATGAAAGGTCCACGAAAGGTATTGCAATTAAATATAAAATATAATCGAAGAAATGATCATAAACACGCCGGGAGCATTACATTTGTCATGCGATACGTTTTGTAATTGTCAGTAATGAGAATTTCTACTATTTTTCGTTAAGATAAATTGACAAAATCACTAATTTAATGATGTACTACAGACTTTAGTTTTTTTTCTTCGCTAGAAGTCATTTGAAGTTGATGCAGAAGTTCTCTGTTGCCAAGTGAAAAGAAAGGGAATCTTTCGAAAACCGTGATGCGAGTTCAACTGTTTTTCTCTTGGCGTGACTCATTATACACCGACTCTAACGTAATCGATCAAAATGGCTTTCAAATGTCAACTCACCTCTATACATATAGGAAATTGTAGCTATGATTTACTAATTTCAATCTCCCGTTTTTCCCTCCGCTCTCCACAGGTGGCCACAGTACCTTCTTCGGTCTGCTGAATACATTCGTCCACATCGTCATGTACACGTACTACCTGTTTTCGGCCCTCGGACCCCAGTTCCAGAAGTACCTCTGGTGGAAGAAGTACCTCACCACCCTGCAAATGGTAAGCTACATATATTGCATCATCTACCGTTGGTGAATCCAAATGTGACCAATAATAATTCCACTTCAGGTCCAGTTTGTCGCTATCATGGTGCACGCCTTCCAGCTGCTGTTCATCGACTGCAACTACCCGAAAGCATTCGTCTGGTGGATCGGAATGCACGCCGTCATGTTCTTCTTCCTGTTCAACGAGTTCTACCAGAGCACGTACAAAGCGAACAAGGTCAGTGGATAGATGATAGAACACGCTTCATCAACAGTCTTTGTCTCTATTGAATCTATTTCTGTAATTATGTACTACCTACCGTTGTTGTTGCTGGCGCCTTAGCTAAGCATTTCCATTTCTGTGGATCTGTGACGACCTCAGCTTCGTCATTCAAAAAACCAACAAATCTACACCCGAAACCGCCGACGACGGTTGCATCATATTGTTGTGCTCTACTTTCCACACGTCCCGGGGGTTGAGGACCCACACATCGCGAATGCGTTCAAGAGCAACCACCGACAGGTGATAATGAGTTGACAAAATGCGGACCGCCCGCAATGAATAAAAGAATTCCAGCGCCCCAGGGTGACGAAACTGCCCCGGCCACCAATTGGAGTGATTTTGCCTGCACCAGGCCTCCTCTATCACGTTCGACCCCAAAACAGCATGTGCGGCACGTCCGTTCAAGTTCGGTTGGACTGGCAACTCACTTACTATTTTGCCGTCGTCACCACCAACAAAAACCACAAGAAGCCATCAACATGTGGCAAAAGCATGCACATTATGTAATTTTGGCGTGCGCGCGGTGAGGAATGCAACGCCAATACCAATAGGAATTGCCAGCAACTACCGACACATTGTGTGACACTGCTCCAGTTTCCGATTCCCCGCGCGGAAGGGATGCAAGCGTTTCACCTTAACCGATTTCGACGTCGTCGTCGTCGTCGTCATCACGTAGTCGTTGGACTTGGTTTTATGTTGAGTGACGACGCCGACACTAACTGGCTTGCCTCACTGCGGTTAGTGCGATCGGATCTATTAGTCAATCTGCCGGGGTGACCAGTCTCTATCTCTAGATTGGTCAGCGCAAGATGATTACACAAGATATGATGGTGGTGTACCGCACTGACCGGCTGTCGGTCTTGCGGTCGAGAAGTTTCTCGTGACTTCATACTGTACTCGGCAACACGTTGATTGAGGTTGCATTACTGTACATTACGGATACGGTGGATTGCTTTGAATAGGGTTCTGAACGAGTTTTGAGACACGTCACGTGCTTCGACGTGAAGAATATTTAGTTATTACTACTAACAATTTTAGCTGCAAGAGCATATATATTCAAAAATGCTGCAGCTTGAATTGATTGTTGGGATGTGAATATTATTTACATTGTAGAAACAAATACCGTAAGGTCGACGACCACCGCTCGCGTAGTCTCCATTCTGCGCGATGATTATTTTTATAATTTTTCTTTTAACTTGCACATTTTAAGCAAATGATGATGAATTATACAATTGCTATTACTTGTAATTATACTGTTGGTATTTGTTGTAATTGTACGTAAATAAGGATAATACCGAAGACAACATATCAAGAAGACTGGCCACTTTGTCTAAATCCAAGCGACGGACACAGACTAGTATTTTACGATCGATTATGGCAACCATAATTTAGCTTAGTTTCTGGTATGGAACATAAGATTTGAAGTTTGGGTTGCGTCGTTTGACGTGTAAACGATCAAATTTGAACGTTTATACGTCAAACGACACAACCCAAACGTCAAATCATATGTTCCCTACCAAAAACTCAACCACATTGTGGCGGCCATAAGCACTCGTAAAATGCTGGGTAGCGCTGCGCTCGAGCAATGGCGGAAGCAACGCATAGAAAAATGAGCAAATACACAAACCTTTATTCTGAGGATGCAACCTTTGCTATCCAATTCAGAACCTTTGAGCGGCAGATGACGCGATTCTGCCTTTCTCATAGCGGACGTATGAGAAAATGGAAGAGTTGCCAGTTGATATGTTGTCTTCGATAAAACGTATGCAGTGAGCGGTGGATGGCGACCTTATGTTATTTGCAAGTGACATACGCCTAGATTCAAGGAACGGAGGTCAAACTTTGTGAACTTTATCTTGTTCAACACTATTGCGCATTTCGCAGAACATATTTCGCTCAGGCCAGAACATATCAAAATTAATAATTTTTAAACTTTTATCATCACTAGTATGTTGAACCGATATTCTATTGTTAAATGTTGTAGCGCTTTATTACATTCAAAAGGAAGTATGGAACAGCAGAACATTCGGTAAGCGTTTGCGGAAATGTTTGAAGATCGGGAGAAATTCTTGAAACTTTGCTGAAGTTTTCGGAGCTTATCTCAAGTTCTTTAAACTTCGCTGAAGCTTCGTTAGATTTCTTGGAGCTTTGCTAAAGATAATTGAACTTTGGTGAAGATATGATGAAATTTTCGAAAATTCACTGAAGTATTTGAAGGTTCACTGAAATTATTAAAACTCCGCTGCAATTTTTGTGGAACTTCTCTGAAATGTATGATACTTTGCTGGTGCTCTTGGACTTTCGCTAAATTTCTTGGAGTTATTGCAAGTACATGAACTGCTCCAAAGTTCTCGGAGCTACTTCAAAGATCTCGAAACTTCTTTGAAATTCGTTGAAGTGTTTTGTGAACTTTGCTTGAAATGTTTGGAACTTCGCTAACAATCTGGGGAAGATTCGCTAAATCATATGGATATATTTGAACTTTGGTAAAAATATACGAACTTTGTAGAAGTTTTCAAAATTTCTCCGAAGTTTTTGGAACTTCGCTGAAATTTTTGAAACTCCTTTAAAGTTTCTTGAACTTCCCTAAAATAAATGAAACTTTGCTCTTATGAAACCTTCGCAAAATGTCTTGGAGTTTATTTCAAGTACTCGAACTACTCCAAAGATCTCGGAACTTCTGCAAAGTTCTCAAAATGTTGCCGAAGTTCACGGAATTTCTCTGAAGTATGTATGATACTTGCTGCTCTTGGACCTTCGCTAAATTTCTTGGAGCTGTTTCAAGTACTTGAACTTCTCCATAGTTCTCAAAACTTCTCCAAAGTTCTCGTAGTTTTTTCGAAGATCTCGGAATTAATCCGAATTGCTCGGAGGTTATCTCAATTTCTTGGAACTTCACAGAATTTCTTGGAGCTTCGTTTGTTTTGTGAACATTGCTGAAATGTTGGAAACTTCGCTAACAATCTGGAGAAGATTCGCTAGATCATATGGAGATATTTGAACTTTGATGAAAATATACGAACTTTGATGAAGTTTTCAAAATTCCTCCGAAGTTTTTGGAACTTCGCCGAAATTTTTGAAACTCCTTTAAAGTTTCTTGAACTTCTCTGAAATTTATGAAACTTTGCTCTTATGAAACCTTCGCAAAATGTCTTGGAGTTTATTTCAAGTACTCGAACTCCTCCAATGATCTCGGAACTTCTGCAAAGTTCTCAAAATGTCTCCGAAGTTCACGGGATTTCTCCGAAGTATGTATGATACTTGGTGCTCTTGGACCTTCGCTAAATTTCTTGGAGCTGTTTCAAGTACTTGAACTTCTCCATAGTTCTCAAAACATCTCCAAAGATCTCGAAACTTCTCTGAAGTTCTCGTAGTTTTTTCGAAGTTCTCAGAATTTATCCGAATTGCTCGGAGGTTATCTCAATTTCTTTGAACTTCACAGGATTTCTTGGAGCATTGTTGAAGTGTTTTGAGGTTTGCTGAAATGTTTGGAACATCGCTTAAATCTTTAGAAGTTTCGCTAAGACATATGGGGATGATTGAATATTGGTGAAAGTATGTTTTCGAAACTTCGCTCAAGTTTTTGAAAATTCGCTGAACTTCTTTAAACTTCTATGAAGTTTCTGGAATTTCTTTAAAGTTCTTGATACTTCTCAGACATTATAGAAACTTGGCTGAAGTATTTGGAACATTGCTGTCGTTCTTGTAACTCACAGAAGTTTCGAGAACTTCCGAGTAGTTTCGAATACTTCAGAAATGATCCGTGAACTTTTGAAAAGTTCCGAGAGTTTCTGGAAAGTTCGTAGACCTTCTGAAACGTTTCAAGATCTTCTGAAAAGTTCCGTGAACTTCTGAAAAGTTCAAGAACTTTTGAAAAGTTCCAAGAACTTTTGAAAAGTTCCTAGAACTTCTGAAAAGTTCCGAGAACTTCTGAAAAGTCCCAATAACTACAGAAAAGTTCCGAGAACTTCTGAAAAGCTCTAAAAAGAGTATAAGCTCCAAGAACTTCAGAAAAGTTTCGAGATCTTTGGAAAAGGTTCGAGAGTTTCTGAAAAGCTCCGAGAACTTCAGAAAAGTTCCTAGAATTTCAGAATAGTTCCGAATTGCTAGATCTTCTAAAACGTTCTAAGATCTTCTGAAAAGTTCAGAGAAGCTCCTAGAACTTCTGAAAAGCTCTAATTAGAGAAGAAGTTCCAAGAACTTCAGAACAGTTCCGAGAACTTCATAAAAGTTTCGAGAGCTTCGGAAAAGTTGCTAGATCTTCTGAAAAGTTCCGAGAACTTTTGAAAAGTTCCGAGAACTTTTGAAAAGTTCCGAGAACTTTTGAAAAGTTCCGAGAACTATTCTAAAGTTCAGTGAACTTTTCCGAAGCTCTTGGAACTATTCTGAAGTTCTAGGAACTTTTCAGAAGTTCTCGGAACTTTTCAGAAACTCTCGGAAGTTTTCTAAAGATCTCGGACCTTGTGTGAAGTTCTCGGAACTGTTCAGAAGTTCTCGGAACTTTTCAGAAGTTCCGAGAACTTTTGAAAAGTTCCGAGAACTTTTGAAAAGTTCCGAGAACTTTTGAAAAGTTCCGAGAACTTTTGAAAAGTTCCGAGAACTTTTGAAAAGTTCCGAGAACTTTTGAAAAGTTCCGAGAACTTTTGAAAAGTTCCGAGAACTTTTGAAAAGTTCCGAGAACTTTTGAAAAGTTCCGAGAACTTTTGAAAAGTTCCGAGAACTTTTGAAAAATTCCGAGAACTTTTGAAAAGTTCCGAGAACTTCTGAACAGTTTCGAGAACTTCACACAAGGTCCGAGGTCTTTAGAAAAGTTCCGAGAGTTTCTGAAAAGTTCCGGGAAATTCTGAAAAGTTCCAAGAACTTCTGAAAAGTTCCAAGAACTTCTGAAAAGTTCCGAGAACTTCAGAATAGTTACGAAAGCTTTGGAAAAGTTCCGAGAACTTTAGAATAGTTCCGAGAACTTCATAAAAGTATTGAGGGCTTCGAAAAAGTTTCGAGATTTTCTGAAAGGTTCCTAGAACATCAGAATAGTTCCGAAAACTTTATAATAGTTCCGAGAGCTTCGGAAAAGTTGCTAGATCTTCTGAAACGTTCTAAGATCTTCTGAAAAGTTCTGAGAACTTTTTTAAAGTTCCGAGAACTTTTTTAAAGTTCCTAGATCTTCTGAAACGTTCTAAGGTCTTCTGAAAAGTTCCGAAAACTTCTGAAAAGTTTCTAGATCTTCTGAAAAGTCCCGAGAACTACAAAAAAGCTCCGGGAACTTCTGAACAGCTCTAATAAGAGAAGAAGTTTCAAGAACTTCAGAAAAGTTCCGAGATCTTTGGAAAAGGTCCGAGAGTTTCTGAAAAGTGTCGAGAACTTCATAAAAGTTCCGAAAACTTTAGAAAAGGTCCGAAATCTTTAGAAAAGTTCCGAGAACTTCTGAACAGTTTCGAGAAGTTTCCGATTCCGAGAAGTTTCAAGAACTTCAGAAAAGTTCCGAGAACTTCAGAAAAGCTTCGAGAACTTCTGAAAAGTTCTCCGAACTTCAGAACAGTTCCGAGAACTTCATAAAAGTTCAGAGAGCTTCGGAAAAGTTCCTAGATCTTCTGAAAAGTTGTGAGAACTTCTGAAAAGTTCCGGATAATTCGGTAAGATTCCGAAAATTTCTGATAAGTGAAGAAATTTCAAGAACTTCAGGAAAGTTTCGAGATCCGAGAGTTTCTGAAAAGTTCCGAGAAAATGTCCGAGATCTTAAGAAAAGTTCTGAGAACTTCTGAAAAGTTCTAAAAAATTCTCAAAGGTTCCGAAAATTTCTCAAAAGCTCTGATAAGTGAAGAAGTTCTAAGAAGTTCCGAGATCTTTGGAAAAGTTCCGAGAGTTTCAGAAAAGTTCTTAGATCTGCAGAAAAGTTCCGAGAACTTCTGAAAAGTTCCGAAAACTTCAGAACAGGTCCGAGAGTTTCTGAAAAGTCCCGAGACCTTTTGAAAAGTTCCGAGAACTTCAGAATAGTTCCGAGAACTTCATAAAAGTTCCGAGAGCATCGGAAAAAATTCCTAGATCTTCTGAAAAGTTTTGAAAAATTCGGAAAGATTCCGAAAATTTCTGAAAAGCTCTGATAAGTGAAAATGTTCCAAATACTTCAGCAAAATTCCGGGATCTTTTTATAAGTTCCGAGAGTTTCAGAAAAAGTTCCTAGATCTTCTGAAACGTTCTAAGATCTTTTGAAAAGTTCTGAGAACTTTTGAAAAGTTCCTAGAACTGCTGATAAGTTCCGGGAACTCCTGAAAAGTTCCGAGAAGTTCTGTAAAATTCGAAATAGCTCCGAGAATTTCTTAAAAGTTCTGAAAAGTGAAGATGTTCCATAAACTTCATAAATGTTTCGAGAACTTCAGAAAAGTTCCGAAAACTTCGAAAAAGCTTCACAAAGGTTCCGAAACCTTCTGAAAAGTTCTGAGAACTGCCAGGAAGTGCTGAGAACTTTGAGAAATGCTTAAAACTTCGAGGAAGTGCCTAGAGCTTCGGAGGAGTTCCTAAAGCTTCGGAAAAATTCCGAAAATGGTAACTTTACAAAATTAACCCTCTACAAATGTTGCAGAATGATTACAGAATTAAGTACCGTTCCGATTCAAATTTCGGACGATTCAAATTTCGGACGATTCAAATTTCGGACACTTTCATTTTTAATTAAATATTACATCCAGTTAGAAACAAAGTAATAATGTTAGATGATCGTGGAGGGCACTAGTCAAAAAAATTTAAAATTTACAAGACATGTGGATCATATTCGACCGAGATAATCAACTTTTAAAAGTGTCCGAAATTCGAGTTTAAGTGTCCGAAATTTGAATCGGCACGGTACTGTTTTCGAAATTTCCTGTGAATGACAGAAAATCAGTATTTTGTATTGCTGAAAAATAGTAGCCTACAAGGGGTAATCAACTCTGCACACTGTGCCGAAACACAGCATGGCACACTGTTCGGCACGTTAACGCACGCTTCGACAAGTAGGACACAAATAATATAATATAAAACGGCATCACTGTTGCGTGTTAACGTTTTGTTAAATGTAGTCACGCTTTACTACTCGGTTGAATATTTTGTTTACTCAAAAATGAAGCTAGTAAGAGAATTTGGTTTGATACATAAAACTGGTGAAGCAACGACCAACCGGTTTTGAGGATAGTTCGACAAATTCTGTTAGTATTCTCTGGATTGTGAATCTCTTCAGATCCGTCTCTTCTGAATCACAGTGGTTCGTGTTTTCATCTGAAACAGCTACTATTCGGGCATCACTTCAGTTGGGTTCTTTAAGGCCCAAACGCAATGACAGCGGAAGCGGAACGGCAGCGGCAGCGGAAAAGCCCGATCTGAATAAGCCTACTTGTCGGATTGAAAACTAGTTAGAATCATATCGACTTCGGTTAGGCATCTTGATGTCATTTGTGACAACTGTCAAACTTTCCGTTTCCGTTCCGCTTCCGTCCACATTGCGTTTGGGCCTTTAAGGGTATGGAGCATATGCATATTCGTAATCTGCATTAAAAATGGAACCCAAACCCATAATTTCATCGATTTTGGTACACTGGAACTATTTTAAATAAGTACGATTACATTTGCAAAAATCACCTTATTAGCGCCCCTGGGTGTCACTTTGTATGGAAGCGAGCTGTCAGTTTGTTAGTTTAGTGTCAAACAGTGAAGTTGTTATTTTGCTTAAAATCTTGATTTAAAAATCGAGATGAAAGTGTGTGGGTTCGAAAATAATATCGCTGTGCTCCGAAAACGAAGCTCTTTCAGATGATGTATAAAAAACGATACATTTTTCAAAATTAAAGAACCCAATTGAGTTCATCCACACCACAGACGGCTGAAACGGGTCACTTTTAGTGACGGTTCCTTTTCGATTGAAATTCCAGAGACGGTTTCCTTTGATGATAAATTTGGAAGGCCACACAAACAATTTCATTAATATCAACGATATTAATATTCGACGAGGATGTCGTAGCACCTAAAATATGCTGTTATTCGTACGGGCAGGGTACAAAGCAAACAATGTGTAATACGTGCCAAAAGATATGAATCCTCCGAATTGTCCGGAGGAAACTTTGTGGGCCCTTTTCTTGGGGATATCTACGGTAACACTTTAAGGCAGCGAATTCAATCGAAGAATTGGAAAAAGACTTGACAAAAGTGGCCAAAATTATCGCCAAGGAATCTGTGTTGAAGCTCGTGGGAAGCGTCTCAGATCAAAAGTTCGCTTCTTGGCATACGGTTAAAGGAACTGCGGATTATTTTCATCCAATTGAAAGAGAATACAATAGAGAACATATACATGAACTAAAGATTTGAGCTCATTAACATAACGTTGTTTTATTCCAATGATAAACTGTGCTTATACTTTCTGGAACACCCTATATGATGGTGATTTTTGCTAATGTTCCGCTGCACAAACATTTATGAAATTTTGGATTTCGGTTCCATTTTTAATGCAGATTACGAATATGCATTTACCTCAAGACCATTAGAGAACCCAATTTCGAGGATTGGACTGCTAGAAAAAAAATAACATACAGTACCCGTTCGATTTTGGCAACAAGTCCGAAAATTTTGTATTGCCAAAATCGAATGGATTTTGAAATTTAATTTATGATTTCGTTGATTTGGGACCACCGTGAGTCATCTTTATGGGATAGACGTTAATGATAATTAATCTTTTATTGAAAATTGTTCCAAAATCGAACCTTGCCAACATCGAACGGGTACTGTAATGAGAAAATTTGAACAATTTTCAAGAATCTACCCTCTTGCCCCAGTATACCTTACTGTTTTTTTTGTAAAAATGATTCAATAAGATGTTTCTCTATAAACCCCATATTAATACCGAAAACTATCGTTCCTTCTCACCAACAGCGGAGAGCAGAATTGGCTGCATTAGCCAGGAAGGAGGCAGCCGAAGCGGCGGCGGCGGCGGCTCTACTGCCGAATGGCACAGCCACCAGCAGCAGCAATGGTAGTGTCACGTCCAACGGCACTGCCAACGGCCACCATGGGAAGAACGGTGCAATCCACAGTCACAGTAACGGAAGTGCCACCACCAATGGCACGTTACTGTCCAACGGCGGCAACAAGGCGGCCGACTACTACGTGCGAGGCGATCTCCCGGCAGAGATCGAGATCACGCAGCGACAACCCAGCAGCCGCAACCAGGCCCAATAATAGCGAATATGATAGACAACAAACACAAACAAACCTCCTTCCCACAGAAAACACACTCACATACACACATACACAAACATCCCCGACGCCCCTCTACTACTTCCCTGCTCCTCTCGAAAACAAAAAAGAAAACCAATCGTAACCAAAACTTCCTCTCCTTCTTTCCACACGTATCCACAAAGATAAAACGCAATGGTTTCTATTGTTATTATTAATTAATTTATTGTAAAACTTCTTTATTATTAGAACTCGTATACAAACACACACACCTACACGAACACACACACACACACACACTGATTTTATTGTGTTTCTTTTTTTGTTCAAGCCAAGTTTCCGCTGGTCTCTTTCATCGCCTTTTCATGAATCAGAGCAGAGGAAAAGTCTTTCACATTTAGTCACACACACACACACACACATACATACATAAGCACATTCCGACTTGTGTCGGTCATTCGCGACAAGGCCCACTTGGTAGGGCGAAGGAATCATCTAAAAGGAAAAAAAACATCAACATTCGGCAATAAAGTTCAAGCAAAGTATATATTTTATCTAAGCGAAAAAGCGGAAAAAGAAACACATACAAATTGTTAATCACTGTTTGAAAAGAAAAAAAATATGAGAAAATGACAAATCAGTTTCATCAAGAGAAGCAAGAAAACAGTCAGAACAGAAAGTCCGCAAATCAAAATAGTGAACAGATTAACACACACACACAGATACACGTACACACTAACACTCACACAAACCAGCAAGTTAAGCAAAAGCCAAAACAAAGAGAAAAAGGTGAAAGCTTTTTTGTTTCTTTTTTCAAGTTTGAAAATAAGAAATCAAACCAAACAACGGATTGGGTCCTGATCAACATTGACCGATTCACTTCGTCGATTGTCTCTCAATACGAACACGAAACACGTCAGGAAACGGGTTTATTTGCCAAGCTATAGAGAAAGTCGACGAAGAGAATCGATCGAATGGCTACTTAGGACCTAATCCATTGTTCGGCTTGAAATGTAATCTTTATTTAGATTTTTAAATAAAGTTAGTAACTTGGGACAAGATGATACGGGGAGGAATAAGGAAAATAGAAAAACAAAATTCTACAAAATGGCGGCAGTAGGAAGTAGTAAGTAAATCGTGAATGTAAAGCAAATATTTTTTACGTCGTGTGGGACGCGTACTGGGCGAAGAGCGAGACAGGCAAGCATAATTTGTAAATAGTTTAGCTAACCTAAATAGTGAGATAAGTAGTGTTAAGGATGCAACAACAGCAAACTAAAAAAAAAAAAAACAAAAAGTGAACTAAGGATGGTGGACAACTTCGCACGAGAAGTGCAACCAAGTGGTGAAGATTCTAAAAAAGAAAACGCCAGCTCAGTAAGTTGTAACAATGTACTTGTTCGTACTCTTGGGATGCTATTATACCTACTATTTTTTTTAACCGGCAAATTTGCGACGAACGGTTTGACTAACTGTTGACACACAGCTTTATATGAGTTTATATGTGTATTGTTTTAGTGGCTTCTTTGGCGTACGTTACTGCTTTGTGGAAGCAGGAAAGTTTTAGGTCTTTTTTTAATTTCTTCCTTCCAATATCTCTCACAAACCAGTTTTCGAACAGTAAGATCGCAAAACACAATCATCCATACATTCGCATACAGACACTCACACGCAAACAAACAAACACACCAACACACACACACACATATACATGATTCAGGAACAGGAAATACCTATAGGCTATAAACTATAGATTATCAGATACAAAACAAAAAAAAAAACAACAGAAGGTGTTTTGGGGGACAGAGGCGCCTCCGGCTAGGATTAAAGTCTAAAACAGAAACAAACAAAAAAAAAACATGATAAGAGAAAAGCAGAAACGAAAAAACTCTAATGTGATTTCTTTATTTTTTTGTAAGGAAAATGCAAAAGCAAGCAAATTGTACTAAGATAATGGTGAAAGCGATGAAGAAAACCGCCGCAAACACACAAACACACAAAAACACACACTGACACAGATACGCAAACTGCTACAACCTGCTGCATCGTGTCAATGTTGCATACATTTATATACAAACGCATTCGCTTTAATATTTACAACTGAGAAGCTGTTAACGAAAACAAAAATCAACTGAAAACAGGATAGCTTAACAACAATCATAAAAAAAAACACACACACACACAAACACAAACTGGTTGAGACAAAAGTGTACAGTTGAAAAATTGCGATTGCACAGATACAGGACAGACCAACAGACGACAGATCGGTAGAGCGCGGTGTGGATCGAATAAAGTAAAAATTGCTGAAAAAAATGTATTCCCGGTGTTTCAAGAGAGATCTTCCAAAACTATCCGAATGCCGCGGTTTGATTTATTGAAAATCTTCTACTTCTTCGGCTAATGGGCGTCCTAAAACTCGAATTATGTGTCTGTCCTCAATTTCTAAATTATTTGCAAACGATTGTCAAACTGTCTCGCCGGAGGACTATCTTTCACAGCTCTGTTTGGAGTCCCACGCTGGCTGGCACGAGATCGATGATCAGCCGCCTCTATAGATATATAACATGAAGAACAGACGCTCGATAAGCCCGGGGCGGTATCGGTTACGTTGAGATTTCGACCATGAAGAATAATCCCCCAAAGAGTAGAAGGTGAAGTGAGAGCGGGACGAACATATCGAACGAAATCTGAGCCAATCGAACATTCCCATTAGACTTTTTTTTCGAGGATTTCTTATTCTTACTAGATTAATTTAGAGAGTATTGCAATCGAACAGAAATTCAATCACCTTTATGTTTCGTGTGCTTCTCAAATTCAACTACTTTTTTGAATAAAAAACAATATTCTAACCCTATTGATTATTTGATCTTAGTTGGTTAACTACACTCAAAATAATCCACACGTCAATGCTACGTGAAAACATACGTGGCTTTTTTCCATCGCACTTTTCACGTAGCACTCACGTGGATCATAGGTAGCCCAGAATGAATTAATGAACTCTCATCCCACTGGAGTTTCACGTAATAGCTACGTGACTTCTCCTGTATCTTTTACGAAGTGTTTAAGTAGAACCTAGATGATAATCCAGTAAATTTTATCAAAAAAATCTGTGGAAAGCACGTTGTTTTGCGTTGATTTTTACCTTTTGCTTTTTTATAATCTGATTGATTCACAGTCAATTATTACAATGATTGCAATATTTTCCAATTCGTATGTTCCTAACTAAAATACATAATTGGAAAATAATGCATCATATATTAATGCAATAAAACAATATGAATAATATATCAAATTTTATTACAAACTATACATACTTAGCTTCTACAGGATTAACATTGAAACTATTTTTTAACTCGGAAATACATTTTAGACTGATCACCGATTACCGCTCCTTGGGATAAAATAATTCTCCTAGAAAAACTAAAATTCGTTTTGATTGTTCTTATATTCTATGATTGTGACTTACCATACGTTCAAACTTAAAAAGTGATGTTACTGCCAGAGCGTATGTTCGGAGGTCCTCAGTTAGTAGCTTGCTTCTGGTGATTAAATGGTACTTTGCAATAATGCTGGAAAGCTCTAGCTGCTTGGCCTCGGAAAGTTCAGCTTTGGCGGCGTACTGTAGAATTTCCTTTCCTTCTTCGGAGTATCTCATCAACTCTTCTAAGGATTTTGTTGTAAAAACATTGCTCTCATGATGTGAAACCATTATTGCTAGAGCGGTCAAAGAGGATTCGGTGAATTTGTTGAGATTGGTCTGTTTAAATGATGGAAGAGCACTTTTCTGCTGATTTTGCTCTGCTCCGTTCAAACTGTCTCCAGATCAGATTCTGAAGACCGAATTGTATCGTCTGCTAACGATACAATGAGCGCATCCGTATTACCACAAACGAAGTGACAGACGACTAACTGGCGAAGAAATCCATTTAAATAATGTGGTTCACTGTAATAGAATTTTCTTGGAAGCTTGTGCCATCATCCACCAGATGGGTTAGTTTTTTTGTTTTGATTTGAACAAAGTTGATTTTGTGTATGTTAGAGCACCACCCTAACAAGAAAATACTCGTGCACTACATTTAGCATACAAATGAATTTCCGTCCTCTGTATCACACTACACATTCGATCACTATATACAGTAACACACTTTAGATAAGCTTATCAATGCTTTCGCCTATCGAAGCAGTGATCGATCGGAAAGGCCTTTTGCTAATCCGTTTCACATGTTGATTCTCCCAGCAGGGATCAGATCTCTGTGCTGGACCAACAGATCAGTCGAAATATACACATCAATCCAAACGTACCTATATACACGTCGTCCGCTTCTATCTTACGATAACCGGGAGAGTGAAATAAATCTTGATTCGTGTCGTTTTTGAACCGCGCGTTTTTTTTCCTATTGCTAACGGAAAGAAGTAGTGTTCGATTGCCACCGATTCTCGCGCCTTTGTCGACCCCGCTTAATCATTTTATGGTCCTTCGAGCCGGATGTGCGCGATTTAATACGGACAATCGCGGACAGTTTTTAGTGAACTATTCTCGCTGTCGGTAAAGGTGAAAATTTGCCTATCGTGTGGCTCTCGAACCCTCCGCCGCGTGTGAAGTGTGGAGAACATTGTTTGTGACCTGTAATAAGAAACGAATAATGTGCGCAAAGTGAACTGTCGTTTCTGATTAATTGCGCTGAAAATCATTCCGGCTGCAAGTGATAGAAAAGAATTTCTTCGAACATTGTGGAACCTCGTGGCATAAGGCAAGGCTTGGCTTGGGTCTGCATTGTCCTGAGTGGACAAAGGAACCTAATCTTTTGATCGTCGGACTAGGTCATCGATAGTATTAATTACTATAAGCACGTGAGTACTGCATGCAAATAGGCATTGAGAAAACGTAAGATAAATTTGAGCTTTCTGCGAAGTTAAGAGTGATTCAATAAATTGATCGATTTTGCTACACTCGATCGAACGTCTCTGCTGCTTTCATCCAAGCTTAGTGTAGGTTGCGTTGTAGGCTCTGGTAGTGAGAGATTCGCATTTTTGAACATCTTTTGGGCTTGGCTGGTCGCTGTGGAAGATGGCACCGGGATTGAGGACACTTTGTCACCAAGAGCGGTTCTATTTGGACACGTTGGCCAACGCAAAGCAATTTGTTTCTGGTTACGACGCAGAGCAACACAGAGGGCAACTAGCAGGATGGAAGCAACGGATTGATGGCTTGGATGAGAAATTTCATGCCAATCGCCTGGCCATTGAATTATCGTTCGACGATGAAGATGAAGATGAGCAGGAAGAAGATGAAGTTAAGGTTGCAGAAAAGGAAGCGGAGAAGGCTGCCGCTCAAGAAAGCAATCGGCTTATTCGGCAGAAATTCGAACTTGATTACGTTTTGGTCTACAGCTTCTTGGCTAACGAAATTAAAAGGCATGCATCGTGTTCCCAACCTAACCTCAACCAACATCCACCTATTCAGTCGCGGGTCAATCTGCCTAATGTGAAACTGCCAAGTTTTGATGGCACCATTTCGGAATGGATCACTTTTCGCGATTCATTCAAATCGCTTATCGACTCCAATGCTGATTTGTCGCATTTCGATAAATTTTCCTACCTTATGACGTCTCTGACGAAAGACGCGAGGAAGGTGATCGAAGCTATAGAGCTTACAGCTGCCAATTATCCTGTCGCCTGGCAGCTGCTTGAAAATAGGTTTGAGAATAAGAAGCTTATCTTCAAGACATACATGGACGCTCTATTTTCGATTGAGCCCATGAAACGGGAATCGTATGAATCGTTGACGCGGTTGGTCGACGAGTTCGAGCGAAACCTAAAGATGATTGACAAAATGGGATTCTTAACGGAGAACTGGAGTGTACTTCTGGCTCACATGGTCTGCTGTCGTCTCGATCCCTCAACCCTCAAGCAGTGGGGGTCATTCTATCGTTCAACAGAAGTTCCAGAATACCACGATCTTATGGCCTTTTTGCGTGGTCATTTATCCGTTCTCCAGTCGTTGCCGTCGCCCAAATCGTATTCGTCGGATTCTCACAAACCGGAGCAGCATCGACGCTGAAATCAAAGGCCGTCTACGCCGTCACCAGTTCAGCGACCAGCTCGTGTCCGTTTTGCTCGAAGTCCGCCCACTCTCCATTCAAATGCGAATTCTTCCAAGGGTTGTCAGTTAAGCAACGCTTCGATCTTGTGAAGAAAAAGAACTTGTGCATTAATTGTTTATCGCCGGAGCACATGGTTCGCAAATGTTCATCTGGTACATGCCGAGTAGACAAGTGTCACCAAAGGCATCACACTATGCTCCATCAAGCATCGATTGATCATCCATCTACTCCTACTAACCCAAACGCTCCACGTTCATTTCCTGTCCAGCCGGGAAATCCTCCGAATCAGTCCTTCTCGCAAACTCACTCGCCATCGTCGTCGTCATCGTCTGGATCCCAACAGCCCTCTGCCACTAGCCTTGTGTCCACCAACGTCGTCGGAGTTCCTTCTGTTCCTGCTACTGTGCTGCTGCAGACGGCAATCATCAAGGTGTTCGCTTCGAATGGACAACCCCAGTGGGCCAGAGCCCTGTTAGATCCAGCGTCGCAGTTGAACCTGATCACCGAGAACATCGTCCAAAGGCTGAAGTTGCGCCGCTACCACTGTCATCAGGAGATTGGGGGTGTAGGCAACTCTGTAATCGTTTCGTCCTACGCTGTTCACGTTCAGATGGCGTCTCACTGTACGGACTTCAAGGCTGTTCAATCGTTTCACATCTTGAAAAATATCACCCAAGATCTTCCTACTAGAACTCTTGATACCTCTACATTGCAACTTCCACCAAACGTTGTCCTAGCAGACCCGAAGTTCTTTGTGCCGAGTTCTATCGATATACTCCTCGGCATGGAACTATACTACGACTTGCTGCTAGATGGATTCGCGAAGCTGGGTCCTGAAAAGCCGATCCTCCAAAACACCGTCTTCGGTTGGGTAGCGTCAGACAAAATAGGTTCCGGACAGTGCGACTCAACTCCAAAGGTAGCCCACGTATGCAGTGACCAGTCTCTCGATTCACTAATCACTCGTTTCTGGGAAGTCGAGTCATGTTGGTCAGCAAGTACCCAGTCTGCGGAGGAAGTCGCATGTGAAGAACATTTTGTCGCAAACACATATCGGGATGATTCGGGACGGTTCGTAGTCACCCTTCCCAAGCATACATCTATTCTGTCCCAACTCGGAGATTCCAAGCAGATTGCCACTAGAAGATTTCTCGCCTTAGAACGTCGTCTCGATGCAAATCCTCCGCTGAAGCAAGCCTACACTAACTTTATCGATGAGTATCTTCAGCTGGGTCACATGCGAGAAGTCAACGATTCCACATGTTCACCTGCTGTCCCGTCCTATTACCTACCACATCACGGAGTAGAGAAAGCGGACAGCACAACCACAAAACTACGCGTCGTATTCGACGGCTCCTGTCGGACGGACAGTGGAGTTTCGCTGAACCAGGCACTGATGGTTGGATCAGTTGTCCAGGATGACCTCTTAGCCATACACCTTCGCTTTCGTATGAATCGTATTGCCCTGATTGCAGATATCGAAAAGATGTACCGTCAGCTTCTCATTCATCTTTTGGACTACCCACTCCAGCGTATTCTCTGGCGCAGATCGTTATCAGAACTGATACGCACCTACGAACTCATGACAGTCACCTATGGTACTGCGTCAGCCCCGTTTTTGGCTACTCGATGCCTAAAAGAGCTGTCTAAACAAGGTGCTGAAGATTTTCCACTGGCGTCGCTAACGTTGGCAAAAGATTTTTATGTGGACGATATGCTGACAGGTGTCTACGACGAAGAAGAAGGAGAAGAACTCTGCAAGCAATTACTGGCGCTTCTGAAGTCCGCCGGTTTCAGCCTTCGCAAGTGGGCATCAAATTCAACTGAAGTCCTCTCGAAAATTCCCATTGAACTGCGTGACGAACGATCAGTGTTAGCCCTGGATTCACCCTCTACTTCGATCAAAACTCTCGGAATCCAATGGCAGCCCTCCTCGGACACGTACAGCTACGCAGTTCCCGAATGGTCAACTCGAATTGTAATTACTCGGCGTGTCGTAGCCTCTGATCTTGCCAAACTGTTTCTTCCTCTTGGATTGCTCGGTCCTGTCGTAGTTCTGGCCAAAATCTTCGTACAATCACTTTGGCAGACTACTACTTCGTGGGACGAACCACTGACACCCAAGCAACAGCAATATTGGCGGGAATGGCGCGACAGCTTAATCGACTTGCCACTGATATCCATCCCACGATGGGCCGCGTTCGCACGAGATCCTGTCCTCGTCGAGTTACACGGATTCTGCGACGCATCTGAACGCGCATACGGTGCCTGCGTCTACTTGCGGACCGTATCTATCGACGGAAGCATCTCCGTCAGACTACTGTGTGCTAAATCGAGAGTGGCACCTAGCGGAAAGTCGAAGAACTCGGTTCTGCTCACACTGCCGTTGCTAGAGCTCTCATCGGCACTTCTTTTGGCTCATCTGTACGACAAGGTCAGCTTGAGCATAAGCCTAAAGACAAAGCCCTTCTTCTGGACAGACTCCATGATAGTGCTTTGCCAGATTCGTTCACCACCTGCTCGATGGAAGAAGTTCATCGCCAATCGTGTGTCGGAGATCCAGCGTCTTACCGCTGGAGGTATCTGGTCACATGTTCCCGGTTCCGAGAATCCAGCGGACATTATTTCACGTGGTATGAATCTTGCGGACCTGAGAAATACACCTGCCTGGTGGATTGGAGCTCAGTGGCTGAATCAACCATCTCGCTTCTGGCCACCGATCAATCAACCAATTCCTGACAATCTACCAAACATCGCCCAAGCGGAACGTCCGATATCGCTGCCGGTACAAGCAGTACCACCCAACGAACTCTTTGAACTTCGTTCTTCATTTCCTCGTCTGGTGCGGCTAGTCACCTATCTACGCCGTTTCCAACACAACGTTTCGTACCAGAACCGCAACAACCGAAAAACTGGACATCTCACCACGTTCGAGCTGAATGACACTACACAGTTTCTCGTTCGGATCGCTCAGCAAGAATCATTTGCCCGAGAGTTGTCTGAAATCAGCACCAGTGGACATGTTAGCTCTCGCTCCGAGCTCAAAAACCTTTCACCAATTCTGATCAACGGGATCCTGCGTGTGGGTGGACGTCTGCGGCATGCTGCCATTTCGGAAGACAGAAAACACCCAATGATCCTGCCCGCTCGTCACACGCTCACAGAACGAATATTGGTCCACTACCACGAAAAACATCTCCACGCAGGGCCGCAACTGCTCGTCGCCTGTGTTCGAGAAAAGTTTTGGCCACTTCGAATCCGTAACCTGGCACGGAAGGTGGTGCATTCCTGTGTGAATTGCTACCGCTGCAAGCCCAACAACCTCGAGCAGTTAATGGGTGATCTCCCACCTGAGCGAGTCACGCCAACGCTGCCATTCCTCAACACTGGAGTTGACCTGTGCGGACCGTTCCAGTACCGCAATTCACCGCGAGCATCAGCGGTCAAATGCTATGTAGCTATTTTCGTGTGCCTTGTCACAAAAGCTACCCACGTAGAGCTCGTCTACGACCTTAGCACGGCCGCGTTCCTGGCTGCACTTCATCGATTTACCGCTCGCAGAGGGACGCCGAAGCTCATCGAATGCGATAACGCCAAGAACTTCAAGGGAGCAGCGAAAGAATTGGCAAAACTACGAAGGCAATTCTACGACCAACAACACCAAGCAGCAGTGATCAACCACTGTGCAGACGACGGCATTGCGTTCAAATTCATCCCGCCCCGCAGCCCGAACTTTGGTGGCTTGTGGGAGGCGGCAGTTAAATCCTTCAAGAAGCACTTGCGGGCTACCATCGGAAATTCTGTGCTCTCCCAAGATGAATTCATTACTCTGCTGGCTCGTATCGAAGCTTGCCTAAATTCCAGACCGTTAACTCCACTCTCTGCTGATCCTAACGATCTGGAAGTCCTTACTCCGGGTCACTTTTTAATACATCGACCACTTACCTCATTTCCTGAACCCGACCTGTCCGAGATCCCAAAAAACCGCCTCGACCGTTGGCAGGAGAACAACGAACTTCTCCGACGCATTTGGAAGCGTTGGAGCACCGATTATCTCTCTGGCCTACACCCACGTACGAAATGGACTCAACAGCGGGACAACATCGACGTCGGCACTCTAGTGCTGCTCAAGGAGAACAACCTTCCACCCCTGAAGTGGAAGTACGGCCGAATCACCCGTGTCTACCGTGGCGAGGATAACAACATCCGTGTAGCCGTCGTGCGGACGGCCGACGGGGAGTACACACGGTCCATCTCCAAGATATGCGTCCTGCCGATACGCCAACCCACAACGGACGTCGCTAGTCCGGCCAACCCAAACTCAGAGCAATGAGTCTTCTATCGCATCGCTACGGCGTTGCGCAACGGGAGGCCTGCGGGCCTCCAACCCTGTAAGTTAATATTTAATTGAATTTACAAAAAACTTAAGAATTTTTCATCCTCATGTCCTGGTTCATCGATGGCTACTCAATCCGAGTATGCCCAACACTGAAGACTACCGAGCTACAACCCTGTAAAGCTACCTGCAACCCGAAGAAGAACTGTCGTGTGAGGAATCCCGTGACGTCATCCGAGCCGAGCTGGAATATGATTAGTCGTGGGAGGAAAACAGCTGATCATCAAAACAACAACAACCAGATGAGAAGTAGCAGACCAAACAAACACGAGGATACCCAATCGTTTACCAGTACCGACGACCGAAGCGAACCGAAGCAGCCGATGATATCGTGTTCCTTGGTTGAAAGGCGACACTTTCAACGGGGGCCGGCATATGTTAGAGCACCACCCTAACAAGAAAATACTCGTGCACTACATTTAGCATACAAATGAATTTCCGTCCTCTGTATCACACTACACATTCGATCACTATATACAGTAACACACTTTAGATAAGCTTATCAATGCTTTCGCCTATCGAAGCAGTGATCGATCGGAAAGGCCTTTTGCTAATCCGTTTCACATGTTGATTCTCCCAGCAGGGATCAGATCTCTGTGCTGGACCAACAGATCAGTCGAAATATACACATCAATCCAAACGTACCTATATACACGTCGTCCGCTTCTATCTTACGATAACCGGAAGAGTGAAATAAATCTTGATTCGTGTCGTTTTTGAACCGCGCGTTTTTTTTCCTATTGCTAACGGAAAGAAGTAGTGTTCGATTGCCACCGATTCTCGCGCCTTTGTCGACCCCGCTTAATCAGTGTACAATGATTCTTTGACAGTGTGCAAAGAGTGCGTATCATTTTGTCATTTTTTTATGCATTTCAGTTTTGAGTAGAGTGAAAGAGATAGAACCAAAACATTCTAGTACAGTTGGTGAAAATGCTAGTTCAATCGAGTAGTAGCATAGAGGTAACTCTAAGACCACTGGGTCCCGAAGAAAATCATTATTATTTTTGGCTCACTCAGTACCAGAACAACGGTCCCAAGCAGTCCCAAGCTATTTCACTCACCCCTGCATGTTCTGCATGAATCCACACACCCCTGATGTTATCTGTCAAACTTTCATAGCGAATCAAAACAAACATAGTGTAGTAATAGAATTTCAACTAGAATAGGGTACGTTAATCGTTTGCTTGGGACCAATAGGCTACTAAAGTGGTGAGCCAATTTAAAATCGTTAGTTTCGTATTGATTGTTGATTGTACCACATGGCAACACTACTATTGGATTGAACTAGCATTTTCATCAAATGTACTAGAATATTTTGATTCTATCTCTTTCACTCTACTCAAAACTGAAATGCATAAAAAAAATGACAAAATGATACGCACTCTTTGCACACTGTCAAAGAATCATTGTACACAAAATCAACTTTGTTCAAATCAAAACAAAAAAAAACTAACCCATCTGGTGGATGATAGCACAAGCTTCCAAGAAAATTCTATTACAGTGAACCACATTATTTTAATGGATTTCTTCGCCAGTTAGTCGTCTGTCACTTCGTTTGTGCATAAAACTAGAGTCGGTGTATAATGAGTCACGCCAAGAGAAAAACAGTTGAACTCGCATCACGGTTTTCGAAGGATTCCCTTTCTTTTCACTTGGCAACAGAGGACTTCTACATCAACTTCAAATGACTTCTAGCGAGAAAAAAATAGCGGCTGTAGTAAATCATTATATCAGTGATTTTGTCAAATTATCTTAACAAAAATAGTAGAAATTTGCATTACTGATCTTTACCAAACGTATCCCATGACAATTTAATGCTCACTGCGTGTTTATGATCATTTCTTCAATTTTATTTTATATTTTATTGCAATACCTTTCGTGGACCTTTCATAGCATCGTAATGTTTGTTTACTTTGCACGATAGGTAGCCGGTTTGACAGTTCAAGAGGTAGACTTGGCTTCACTCTTGGCGTGACTCATTATACACCGACTCTACATAAAACCTTACAAAACAATAACAAGTTAGATGGATGTTCGCAAGTAAACTGATTAAAAAACTGAAGCTATTTTAATTGAAAAGCAATTGAAAACTGTCTGCCATCGCAAAGGTACAGGATCCTCCGACAAACATAAGAACCTCTACACTGCTTCATTTCACGGTGGCACCGCTATTCACAGTTGTTTTGGAGATCGTAGGTTAAAGTCCCAAACGCAATGTGGACGGAAGCGGAACGTAAAGTTTGACAGTTGTCACAAATGACATCAAGATGGCTAACCGAAGTCGATATGGTTCCAACAAGTTTTCAATCCGACAAGTTGGCTTACTCAGATCGGGCTTTTCCGCTGCCGTTGTCGTTCCGCTTCCGCTGTCAATGCGCTTGGGCCTTAACATGTGCTTCCGGCACAGTGTGAGCCACAACCGAGCCTTCGGTTAATGATTGTTTCGAGGATTATTTTCCGGTTGTGATTTGAGTCGTAGTCTACATTTCTATTACGGATATTTGGTTGTGTATATACATTGTTGATGAAATTTCAATGTATACTAAGATTTCTGGGAATTGGCAATATCTTTTGGCACAAAATTGACTCCGTTGGCTCGGTACCACTCCAACACGTTTCGAGCGTAGTGGCAGGATACTAGATCAGGCCAAAACAGAGATGATCGTTTGTGCTTTCTTGTGAATGGCAAGAGACGCTTCTTAAGGGCACTTTTCCGTGTAAATCGCACCGTTGATTGTTCCGGAAGCGATGAAGGGAGCGCAAATCGCCTGCCAGATCAAGAACTTCTTTGCAAATTTTGATAATTTCTTCTTTCGAACATCCTCCGGAACATCGAACTTAGACTTGGCAACGAAATATTCTTAAAGAGAGAGAGAGGGAGAGAGAGAGAGAGAGAGAGAGAGAGAGAGAGAGAGAGAGAGAGAGAGAGAGAGAGAAGGATTAGTAATTTCCATTTAATTTCACTACCTTATTTGCTTATCCTTGTCAAGGATAAGCAAATAGGGTAGTGGAATTAAATGGAAATTACTAATCCTTCTCTCTCTCTTTAAGGCCCAAACGCAATGTGAGCGGAAGCGGAACGGAAACGGAAAGTTTGACAGTTGTCACAAATGACATCAAGCTGCCTAGTCGAAGTCGATTTGGTTCTAACTTGTTTTCAATCCGACAAGTAAGCTTACTCTGATCGGGCTTTTCCGCTGCCGCTGTCTTTGCGCTTGGGCCTTTATACAGGTATTCCACTAAGACGCTCACATTCATCAGGAAATCTCGATGAACATTTCAAATGGTCCTATCTGCTTTGATCGATTCTCTTAATCGACTTTCTCTTTTCATAACCACTGCTATGCAAACAGATTTCGCGTTAATTTTACCAAATAGTTTGATAAAGGAGGTTCTTATCTAGCGTCCAAAACGTCAAATACAACAGGGAAAGGTTTTGCAGCTGAGTTATTGACGAAAGAGAAAGTCGATGAAGAGAATCGATCAAAGCAGATAGGACCATTTGAAATGTTCATCGAGAAATATTCTTGTCCACATTCTTGTTGACGGAAGTCGACCTTGACGTAAGTTTCGTCAGCCATCACGATTTAACACGATTTAGTGAGCAACTTCGTGTAATGTTTCCGAGCGCTGGTTTTCGCAGTGATGTTATGCTTTTCATTCCGGTTTGGGGCTTTTGAACCTTGTAAACATGTAACCCGGGCTACAAATGGTGAGTCGACAAACTGGAAGGAGTGTTGTCCCAACAGCTCTGGTCCTCACAAGTTCCTACCTCACGCTTTCACGGGTCAGCCGATGACAAAGACCGCCAGCAAAAGATGCTGGTAGCGTAGCCTGGGCAATGTCACCACGATAAAAACATGGATCCGGATCGTGGTGATAGCAAAGTGAGGAGGTGCGACCCTCGAGCGTCTGTTCACCATGGAGGTGCGGCTCAAACAGCGTCTGTCTCGGAGCGAGCGGCTGAATAAGAAATGCTGTATCACGTCAGCTACACCTAAGGTGGCAGCCCCACCAACATGATGTAGGTATCGCGACCCCGGTAAGGTAGCATACTGAAACCCCCAACATTACTCAGAAAAACGAAGAAAGAGAAAACAACGAACGGAATTTTCGGCAACCGACCCGGCAACGAAATAAGGACAATGAATGGAAACTCGGTACTTGGAATGTCAGAACCTTAAATGAACCTGGACGAGCGGGCCTTTCGGCTCGTGAACTGCAAAAAGTGAATGTGAGCGTAGCTGCTATTCAGGAAGTACGGTGGCCTAGATCCGGAGAACGTGAATTCCGGGCGGTGGGTCCCATCGCCAACACTTCCTTCAAGTATCATATCTATCACAGCGGTGGCGATAGGGCAGAACATGGAGTAGGGTTCATAGTGATCGGGAAGCAGATGAAGCGTGTTATGCGGTGGAGACCGGTAAGTGACCGCATCTGTGTATTAAGGATTCGGGGCAAATTCTTCAACTACAGCCTGATCAACATCTATGCGCCAACCAACGATAAATCCGATGACGTGAAGGACGCGTTTTATGACAGTCTCGATAAAACTTATGATGAGTGCCCAAAACACGACGTGAAGATTGTAATCGGAGATGCAAATGCGCAGGTCGGGAGGGAAGATTTCTTTCGTCCAATCATTGGTACAGAGAGCCTACATACAGTAACCAATGATAACGGCCTGAAACTGATAAACTTCGCCGCTGCTAGACGCTAGAGGTATGGCCATCAGTAGCACCTACTTTGCACGCAAGAATATCCGAAAGCACACCTGGAGACACCCAAATGGCGAAACTTGCACCCAGATCGATCACATGTTGGTGGATGGCCGGCACTTCTCAGATGTCATTGATGTAAGGACTTTTAGGGGGCCTAACATTGACTCAGATCATTATCTTGTTGTCTGCAAAATTCGGGCGCGTCTATCGACCGTT